AAAAAGAGGCATAGGATTCCATACTTGTAAGTATATACGATGGTTTGCGTGAATAAAATTGTGGTGATATATACTACGTTTATACGTAAGCTATTTGCAAATAAAAATAATTTGCAAATACCTAACTCACTGCTTATTCGTTGGTGAAAAACTCATTTTTAATATTGCCAGATTATAAAAAGAAAATAAAGTTAAAAATGGAAACGTCTTGATTATAAAAAGGCAATAAGATGACCATCGAAAAAGAAAATATAAGAATGGCGGCATCTCATGCTTATTTTCAAATAATACCACTAATCAATACTTATTTGCGTGATTTAGTTATCTGCAAATAAAAAATAAACTCAGCGTTTATACGGAAAATTTTACCATTTTGCAAATTGTTATTTGCAAATAATACGTACGTAGTAATACATAAATAAATATAGCATGGATAAAAAGTAAGTAATGTGGATCGAAAGCTGTAAAAGAAATTAGTTTACATGTGTGTGAATTGCAGATCAAAAGTGGTTAACAATAAAAAGCAACTTGGATGGCTGTTCCAACGTATGCAGGGCATGAATCACGTAACTTTGAAACGATAGTCGTTCAAACGATACTAACTAAACGATGTCGTCAAAACACTAGGGGTATTCTCGAAGTCTTGCACGATGCAAGGATTGCACGAAATACAAAAATACTATTCCAAATTTAGAGGAGTACGAGAGCACCCCATTGCAAAGTGGTAGCATGCATAGAGAGCAAGAGCGAAATTCTGTATCAAATACAATAACAAGATACAGCAAAAAAAATGAAGTGAGCGAAATGAGAGAAATATTTAGCAATTCCAACAACAAAACAACTAGCACAGGGTCGCATTTATTTTGCTATTCCTTTTTGGAAAATACCTATATACATGGGTTTCGACTTTGCATATTTTGCAGCGATAGGAAATGGTGTTTCCCATATATTTTGTTGTTGTGTGCTTGCAAGTTATGCAATCCATGCAATCCGTGCTACGTGCAACGGCTTTGCAAGATTTGGAGAATACCTAGGGGTAGTTTCATGCTTTCATTAAAATTAAATGCATCTGTAAATTTCAAAGAGGAAGAAAATTCAACCCAGTGATTTTTTTTTGGTTGAAATACTATACGGCGGCGCTGTGGCCTGGGTTCAAGCCCTAGTCAAAGCAACATCGAAAAAAATTTAGAAAAAAGGTTTTTTCTCAACAGCGGTCGTCCCTCGGCAGGCAATGGCAAACCTCCGTGTGCATTTGTGCCATGAAAATAGCTTCTCATAAAAATACAATCGCCGCTCGGAGTCGGTTTAAAACTGTAGGTGCCTCCACTTTGTGTCACAACATCAAGGCGCACGCCACAAATCGGAGGAGAAGCTCGGCCACACACTAACATCTTTTAAGCTACAACTACTTATAAATTTATCTGCTTTATTTTTTTCTCGGCAGGCATTTGCCATCGCATTATATTGATAAATAATAAAATACAAACAGTGGCGAAGGCTTAAACATGGTGTAGACGCATTCGAGAAATCCTTTTATCACAGTGCAACAGTTTAATGACCAAGTAAAGAAAATATCAAAAGCAGAGCTTCAGCAGAGGAGCTAAAACTTCTTAAGCAATCCATTACAAAAAACGTAAGCGACAAGAACAACCGGCACAAAACACCTTCTTACATGCAGTTGCATTTATTCGAGGCATAATTAAGAGGTTTCAATGCTACGATTTGTTTGCCAAGCGGGGCAGCAACAACCACGGCAAAACCGCAGCAATGCCAAGCAACTCCGACTGTACGCGTATGCGCAACATGCCACATTTACCTCATAGTTGCCTTGCTACACCTTTTGGGTAATGAAAACAAACACTCATGATCAACGTTAATGCATTATCATTGACGTGAAATTAACACAGGCAGGAACATGGCAAACAAGTTGTTAACATTAATTTTCGGCCGCGCTGGCGCTCATGGCAATGCACCGCATAAGTCAACAAGAAAAAGTAACCCCATTATGCACTCGCAAGGCAATGGCAAGTTAATAACCAGCATCAACCATCTGCGTGTCAATGGCAGTGGCAGCAGTGTGCAAACCTCTACCACATAGTGTATGGTAGATCTACCACATATTTTTTTTTTATTTGGGTTTCTACCACATCTACCATACAAGGCTTAAAATCTTCACATTTTTGGGCAGAACATTTGCTTTCAATTTTCACGTAACTCTAAAATTTCAACTCAATTCTAATAAGAAAAGTAAAAATTAATCAATAAATTTTTAAAAAGGTGCATCATAAATTTGGCTTTAAATATATCTGTGTCTTAACTTTTTAATGTATCAAAAATCCGCATATTTATATTTGCTAAAGTATCATGCAGTGTAAGATAATTTGGTCAACCTTTTTCGCATGAATCAATTCGTAGGATTTATCTCAAACTAATGAAAATATTTTCTTCTTCATGATTGCATTCTCTAACTAGTAAACTAATGTTATACTTGTTTTTGCATAAATTGCGTTTAATCTGTACGGTCCACAAGCACTTATATTTCCCGATCTAATTTTTGAGTTGTGCCTCTTTTAACGACGGTGTGCGATATGCAGGGCCGTAGAAAATAAGCAAGAAAAATCCATTTTAAGAGCTTAGATAAGCACTAAAACATCGGTAAATATGCTTACAAATATGATCGCCAAACAACAAAAATTAAGTACAGTTTCATGTTTTGTTTTTTTATTCAGTTTATTGCATTGAAAAATTACAATGGACACACAAGTGTTGTTGATATTCTAAAATAGTTTAATTTTTGAAGTGAAACTTCTTTAGCGTCGGTTGGTTGGTTGGGAGTAAATTGGCAAATTCAACGGAAATTGCACACGGAAATGGTGCAACGGAAAATACAATGAGCACCGATAAAAGTCAAGATGAAGATAGGGGAAGGAAGATTAAAATAAAGGTAATTAAAAAGGAATCGTTATATAGAAAGACACAGAGACTCAATCGGGGAACTATTTTGGGATTTTAGAGATTTTCGGGATTCTCGGGACTTATCGATAAAATAATCGATATTTTTATCGGTTTTGTTATCGTTATTTTTATATATTTTGTTATCGATATTCTTATCGATTTGTTATCGATTTTGTAATCGATATTTATAACTATTTTGTTAGCGATATTTTTTATTGATTTCGTTATCGATATTTTTATCGATTTGGCTATCGATATTTATCGATTTCGTTTCCGATATTTTTACCGTTATTTTTTTATCGTTATTTAACGATTTTGTAATCGATATTAATCGATTTTGTTATGGATATTTTTATCGATACCAATATTATTATCGATTTTGCTATCGAATTTTTTATCGAATTTTTCATCGATTTTGTTATCGATATTTTATTGAATGTTACTATCGATTTTGTTATCGATAGAGCATAAAGATAAAAATGAAGACAAATGTAATTAGAACGAACAGGGGAGAGGTAGGGATCTAGATAGAAAAAAGACAAAAAATATAACCTTAATATAAAAATCATTTTATACATACATACATTTTGATCGATTTTGACTGTTTTTCTTTTGTTTATTTAATGTTTATTAATTTTTCATAAATAATAATAATAATGTACAAGTTTTAAGTTGCTAAAGAATCACGTTGATTTTTTCTTTATTTTTTTCTTGTAGACATTTGGTCAGGCGGTCGGTTGTCGAAAATGCTAAATTAAGTTCTGCTAAGAAGGCACATAATGCTTTTGCGACCGTGCGTGTTGCAATAGATCAGCTCTTCCTGATTTGGCTTTTAATATACAATTGCAAACATTGTAATAAGCCTTGTAACCTCAATTGGTTACACAACCAGCCTTTAAACGCGGGATCCTTAGTCCAAGAATAATAAAAATAAAAAAATGCGCGTTCGCTTGGTTTGCATAATATTTAATTCATATGTGAGACACCTGCTAAAAAAAAAGCTTGTAAATATTTATTAAGAAAATAATTCAATATCAGTTCTACTTACAAGATTTAGTAACAAATTTGCCGAAAGTGTAAGCGAAAGTACTTACTCTACAAGCAAATAGTACGCTATACATTGAATATATTGTGCATAGAGAAAAATTACTGGAAAGTTAAAAAACGTAATTTTTTACACAAAAAGTCCAAACGTCAACAGGATACAAAAAACGTCCAAATGACTTTAAAAACGTCAACCTGGCAACGCTGGTAGCAAGCAGCGAAATTATGTATCAAATCAAACAAAACAACTATCACAGGGTCGCATTTATCTTGCTATGCTATTTCTGCAAAATATATACATGGGTTCCTACGTTGCATATTTTGCAGCGATAGGAAATGTCCCATGTGTTTTGTTGTTGTGTGTTTGCAATTTATGCAATCCATGCAATCCGTGCTAAGTGGAATGGCTTTGCAAGATTTGGAGAATACACTTACTGATTCATGTATTTGTTTTACTGTTGCGTGTAAGTGTTAGAGTTAGAGTTACAAGAAGCAAAATTGAAATCGAGTTGACGATATCGCACAAACGATCAAAAAATTTTTGGTTTAAATGAAGCAAGAAAATCTCAACACGATATCGTCCAGACGATTGTCGTCATACGTGATTCATGCCCAGGACTATCTGGACTAGCCTAAAGGGATTTGCGGCAAGACTCGGGCAAAACTGAACTGAACAGCATACTGAACTCCGACTACGCCATCTACAGTGGTTTTGCGCAGAACCAACATCAAAATTTACAAAAAACTGGATAATTTATTAATGTGCTCACAAATTTGAAATCTTTATTTTAAATTAAAGTTTAATCCTTTCAATACATGTGCATGTTAAAGTTTTTTGAATCGGGTCACGCGTTTCGACACAACAACCCAAAATCATTGTATAAATAACTAAACCCTACCGAATTTCTTAAACTAGTTGCGTTCCAGATGCTTAACGATTTGCAGGTTTTTACAGGAAGCTGTTCCAGGTGGCCTCCTTCCATAAGGTTTATTAATGGCGAAAACAGCTTTTCCTGCAAATCCTGTAAAACCTGCAAATCGTGAAGCATCTGAAACGCAACTACTATTCATGAAATTCACATATGTGTGTACTAGGGAAGTTTCGATTGTCATATTTTTCACATTCGAATTTTCGGAATGCGAATGTTAGGAATAACATTAAACTTAAATCATCGTTTTTATTACGGCTGGTATTATCACTTGCGAAGCGAAAGAAAATATCGGCGAACTTCCCATTCTCGAAATATGAGATGCGAATAACCGGCGAATTCGCCGCAAAATTGCGAACGAGTGGCGAAAATGAATTTCGTGTATTACCACTAGCGAAAAAGCGACATTTGCTTCGCCATAGCTGTCAAAATTTGGCGACTGTTTTCTCGATTCGCACTTCAAAATGGAAAAGACGTTCGTAATTGGTTTTATATGTACATAATTTCATTAAATACAATACATTTTTCAGAATAAAACGAACAACAACGCAACAGTTTGAAAAGCTAGTAGAACTCATGCACAATAATCAAGACGTTGCCAAGGGGATGGGAAATTTCGGCTCCTCGAAGAAGATTTGGGCAGAATTGTGGGAAAAGTTCGGACCTCCAATGCGGAATGGGCGGGAGTGGAATAAGGTAAGAATTGGGTTGATTTTTTCCTAAGACAACTTAATAAATCCAGTTTCTTTTGTGTACTATTTAGGTTTGGCTAGACTACAAACAAAAGTTGAAGAAAAAAATTTCAACGAACCGACGGGAAACTGTGGCCACAGGAGGAGGTCCGTACTATGCCTTCTTCCTAAGAAGAAGAATGAATGACAGTGGAGGACCGCGAAAACATTCTTTTAAGTGCGTCGAAGAGGCAGTCCGAGGTGCAAGAAGTTCTTTGCCAAAAGTATCAGGCATAGAAAAGAGATTAGAATAAATTTCGCGATATGCTAGGAAAACATACGAAATAAAAAACGAAAAACTAAACTTATTGAAGATGGAGGAACAGAGAAAGAAAGAAGAAAATTTAGAAAAGAAGAGACAACATAAAGAAAAGATGGAAATGAAGTTAAGGGAGTTAGAACTAAAATCCTTAAATACAGTAAGTAAATTTAACAAAGTTTAATAAAAAAATGCAAACTATTTAATAAGAATTCCCAGAAAAAGTTTAGTGTGCCGATTTATAGCCTATTAAATTTTAGTGCAACAAAGTGCAAGTTAAAAGTTCCTCAAAAATCTCGTCGATTTTTTATAATTTTTTTTGCAACTTCAAAGTACTACTTTATTGTACTAAAATTGAGAAGGCTATGAAACTGGACACCAAAATTCTTTATAGTAACAATTGAAAAGCTTGCCATTTTTATGAAACTTTGTTGAACTTTTATAATTTTCAGAAAGTTTGAATTTTGAATTTAAATTGTTTTGCTATACTTAACAGCAAAAGTCTGCGTACACCATTTCTTTTTTAAATATTCACAATATTTTGCAAGTTAAAATTTATTTGTTATTTTTTATAAAATTGTGGATCATGCTTAAAACACAATCATATAAACCAAGGTTTCAAGCTTTATACAAAATTAAGGAAAATTCCACGAATTTGCATCTAAATTTTCAACTTTTTAATCAGATTGTATATAGCCCATTAAATTTTAGTATATTAATGTGCAAAAAATAAGTGGCTAAAAAGACGCGTTGATTTTTAATAATTTTTTATGACGGTTCTGCGCATTTTCCTCCATACAAAGGAGTGAAACTTTTTTATATTAAGGAAAATGCGTAGAACCATCAGATAAAAAATGAATAAAAATCAACGCGATCATTTAGCCACTTAATTTTTACACATTATTATAGTAAAATTGAATGCGCTATAGCCTGATTAAAAAGTTGAAAATTTGATGAAAATTCGTGAAATTTTCCTTAGTTTTGTATAAAGCTTGATACCTTGGTTTATATGATTTTGTTTTAAGCATGATTCACAATCTTATAAAAAAATAACCAACAAATTTTAACTAGCAAAATTTTGTGAATATTTAAAAAAGAAATGGTGTACGCAGACTTTTGCTGTTAAGTACACATATTCTTTTGCCAAAAAATTAATAATAAAAAATATCTCTGTATCACTGTGAATTTCTTTAGTTTCTAAGTAAATAATGAATTCATTTTTATTTAAATGTATACTAATTTAAAAACATTTTTTAAAATAAAGTAGTTACTAATTTTATAATAATGCAGCAGCTATCTATCTTCTGCGACGTTCTCCGGGTGTACCACCGGAATTTTTACTAACTGGTTCCGATGGTACAACGGCGTCAATGAAAATCTCAGATTAGTCTGGATCACACATTTTAAATTTTTTACAGATATTGTGCAAAGCACAGCACATGTTTATAATCGTGGTCACTTTCGTAGGTGTGTAGCGCAATTTGCGCTCACTGAGGAGACAGCGTCCGTTCAACAACGTTTCTTGCCTTCGCATGTTTCTTATTATACATATAATGACTGTCTACTTCCTGATTCCGCGTTTCGAAAAGGTGTTAACAGGTAGGGAAGTAGTGGGTATCCGAAATCACCTAAACGAAATTACAAATGCAAATACTTGCACAATGTACATGTATGTATAATTACAGTATACAAAGGAAGATTTGAACGCACCTAAATAAATAGAGTTTTGATCTCCCTTTTCGTACTGACTTTGTAAAAATGCATTTAATGAACTGTTGTTTCACACAAAAGAATCGTGGGTAGCACGTACATAACCGCCGCTTTGCTCGGCCGAAAGTTAGATATAAATCTGATTTAAAATTTGGTTAACACATAGATGTTTCATTTATTCATATTGAGCAATTGTTAAGTTTTATTGCAAACTGGTGGTTTATAGACTTGCATTCTTACAATAACAAAAAATATTTCGCTAAATACTTACAATGACGACGGCATATCTGTAGGATTAGAGTTATCTTTAATAACCCGACGTTGTCGTAGTAAATTAACCGTGGTCTGCTCCCTGTAATCATCCTCGAAATACAAATCCACGGAATTAAGCATTTAAAAATTTTGAATTTATTTGGTTTTCTTTAGTACCGATATTTCTTGTTTACAAAAACTTTGCTTTGAAAAGTCAAAGTTGTCAAATTTGGATGAACCCATTTGTCAAATACACTTTTTTTGGTATGGCAACAGCGAATACAAGCGAATGTGTTCATTCGCCACTCATAATACCAATGCCCACAATTTTCGCCTGAGCATTCGCTTCGCCAAACACATTCGCTTCGCAACTCATAATACCACTCTACATACAAATTTATTAAATTATTAGAACATTGAACGAGTGCTTAATCTAAACAGTGTTAATCTAGGGCCATATTACATTAAACATTATTGGAGCGCTAAAATATTTGCGGGCCAGATCTGTCAATTAGTCGTATTTTAGTTTAGTTTTCCCCCAATCGAGAGGATTTTCACTGAGATAATCTTGTTTTTCTTTAAGACAGGGGGCTTGTTCGAGTTGCAATCACAACCGCAGTGTTGCGCGAATTATTAAAGTATAGCGTTCTGTGTTACTTTCTAGCAATGTATTATCAGTTGAGTAGTTGCAACAATGGTGCCATTTTTCATCAGTACGGCAGTAATGCCGCTTTTATTACGTGCCTCGAATAGGCCCAGGCCTTCAAATGAGCTTTAATTTCACATTTTTTAATGTCTCCAGACTCTACATCCGAGCCTCCGCATTCGCTGGAGGAATCTAAAATTATTTATAGGTTGCTTATAAGACTTTTAGCAGTACTTATTGAAGGCCCATCAATTTGCTTGATATGCTACTTAACCGCTTAGCGCCTGAAGCTAAAAGCCGGTTATTGTCCGCACCCTGGTTAGACAGACTTACGAGCTATTTCAAAAATATTAGAGTGGACTCTACCAATGTACACATTCGCATTCGCAAAACATCAGTTGATGCGGATGCCAATGTGTAAAATTAATGCAAATATTCGCAAAATCCTTGGTTTGTNCCCAATCGAGAGGATTTTCACTGAGATAATCTTGTTTTTCTTTAAGACAGGGGGCTTGTTCGAGTTGCAATCACAACCGCAGTGTTGCGCGAATTATTAAAGTATAGCGTTCTGTGTTACTTTCTAGCAATGTATTATCAGTTGAGTAGTTGCAACAATGGTGCCATTTTTCATCAGTACGGCAGTAATGCCGCTTTTATTACGTGCCTCGAATAGGCCCAGGCCTTCAAATGAGCTTTAATTTCACATTTTTTAATGTCTCCAGACTCTACATCCGAGCCTCCGCATTCGCTGGAGGAATCTAAAATTATTTATAGGTTGCTTATAAGACTTTTAGCAGTACTTATTGAAGGCCCATCAATTTGCTTGATATGCTACTTAACCGCTTAGCGCCTGAAGCTAAAAGCCGGTTATTGTCCGCACCCTGGTTAGACAGACTTACGAGCTATTTCAAAAATATTAGAGTGGACTCTACCAATGTACACATTCGCATTCGCAAAACATCAGTTGATGCGGATGCCAATGTGTAAAATTAATGCAAATATTCGCAAAATCCTTGGTTTGTAAATACACTTCACCTTCCAACTCCAAGGGACAAATCTCGCAAGCTTAAGCTAACTCTACTAATCTAATATCTTCAACATCATCTTCCCCATCCATGATACATATCTCAACAGTATAAATTTTTTAAATTTTATAATAAAAGCAATTAATTCAAAAATGATGTAAATAGAACAACAAAGAAGAAGAAGAGAGACTCTGTCAAACGCCTTAGCAAAATCTTTCCAGATATTCTTCCGTTAAAATCGCTAGATAAGAGCGGTGTATCTCCCTTTAATGAAACCAAGCTGATTCGGAAATATGAAATTTCGAACTTGAAAGGCCATTTTGTCCTTTATAATGGCTTCAAATGGTTCAACAAGCGTTGACAATTTGGCAATAGGTCTATAACTCTTGACGTCATTTTTATTTCCACTTTAGAAAATTGAAGTAATATTTGTCTTCTCTCAATCGCCATATATGTTCCCTAAGAAAGCAGTAAATGGAAAATTAGAATTAAGGTCTTAACAAGAGCTTGGTAATACTAAAAACGGCAGATAAACCATCGATGTCTGTTTGGTTAGATGGTTTCAGTGTCCTACGGATGCTTCTATTTTCGCTTAGGAAATATTGGAATATGTTCTCAACACAAGCTATGCACCGTAGACCTAAACAATTCATAGCTGCGGTTAACAATAACGTTAGTAAAAAGGCTATTTCTCTCACGCTCTAGTAGTAGATTATTAAAGTACTAAAAGAGTATGATGAATGCCAGCCGGCTAGATTGGCGCTTACACATATGTTAGTGTTTGTCCGAGCTTCTCCTCTTTAAGTTCAAACTACTATATATAAAAATTAGATCAAGAATTCTACTATGCTTGTAGCGATAACTATATAAATACTCGACAGAGATCAATATTTAAGTAGTTGTCAACTAAATAAACTTCAAAAGAGATTGTGACATTAAAAGGCGTTAGAAAATAGGAGGTGTCCAAATATGACCAGCTAATATTACTTAAATTAAAATCAGCAAGTACATACAGCTGATGATCTAAAATCCTTGAGTGCACGAAGAGGATGTTGTCGACATGTACCCTATGCAACGAGTCATGTCTGATTGAAGGAATGTAGGAAGCGCAAATGAATACCTTCCCTGAGGAGCCTGATAAGCGGACACAAACTTGATCTAGAAGCGTGTCATTGTTGTCCAGAAGGACCTAGGTAGCATGCAGCATTCGCCTTGCATCAATCAAAACACCACCTCCTCTGTTACAACAGGTTTAAACAGGATCTCTGTCCTTCCCAAAAACGTTATACAAATCAGGGTCAAAGAATTCAGAGTCGAAGAAATTTGCACTAAGCCAGGTTTCTATCAGCGTGAATACATCATAAAACCCCTGCGAACTCAATTCGCTTACAATATTTGATTTGGTCCTCATACCAGCAATGTTTTGAAAATATATGCTGATATGCTTTTCGATCCCATTTTTAGATGTAGAAGCTCCTACGATTTCGCTGTTTGACTTTCTTTCCGTTGAAAAAAAAACCGAACGCACTGTAAGATAGTCCGCCCAAATTTCCGGTTTGAGCAGTATCTTCAGTAAATTTTCCGAAACACCCAGCTTAAAGTTAACGCCCCTTAATGTGTGCTCCGGTGTATCCTTCGTTACAAGCCTATGACATGACAAAAGTTGCTTTTCAATCTTGGTTTGCTTCACTACATAGGCTATTAATTCTACGGATGTAACACTAGTCATAAAGGAGGCTAAATGCGTTCATACATAGAGTTCCGCATTCTCATTAGAGCCAACAACACGTAAACCATTCTTGTTTTTGTAGTTTCTGTTCGATACAG